GGGGGGAAACAGTCAACAAGTTTGATTTGTTGATTGGTAGAATGTCTCCTGTATTGTAGCAAAACTGTCTTTTAAATCAGGTAAGACATATTATGTAAATACAGTATTAGTGTCAACATAAACAGAAGATAAAAATGAGAAACGGGATTACGAGATTTTATCAATGTGTATAGGCAGAAGACCACTACTTGTCTTTGAGTTGTTTTCAAGAGTATTGAACACAGGGTTGAACTGAAAGTCTGTGTGTTGACTGCAACAGTTGTTGCAATCAAGTGGCAATCACAAGGCTGTTTCTAAAGCTGGAGTAGGAAAACCTTGGGTTTTCTTCACTGGTGTTAGGGAGGGATGGATGTGCCAGAGCTTCCCTGAAACAAAGTGTGAAAGTATTTAACCATCATCATGGTTTAAAAAATAAATAAATTACAGAAAAGCAGTTATTAAATTGTATTTTTTGGATTGAAGCACTTTTTGAGAAGAACTTTTTTGAAATTGAGCATTATAGAAGGGCTTTTTATTAAAAAAAAAAAGTGGATAGTTATACAAACCTTTGAGGATTACTGTGATGGTATCCTGCTAGCTTATCTTCTGTTGAGTGGGTTTTACTTTGCAGAGAAAATTACCCACATAAGCTTATTTTACAGTGTGAACAAGTATTTTCATACAGATTACCTAATAATAATAATAGTTTTAAAAGGAAGGTATAGGAGGAAATCTCCTTGAGAAGTATTCCACTGATAGAAATCGGTTTTAATATTTTGCGTGTTTCATATTTGTAAGCTTTTGCTTGTCTTCTTGCCTAGACACATAGCCGAGCTAATATTCTACATGGAGGAGCTCAGAGCGCACGTGCGAAAATACGGACCAGTGATGCAGAGATACTATGTACAGTATCTCTCTGGCTTTGATGCAGTGGTCTTAAATGAGCTTGTTCAGGTATGGCAAGACTGTGGCTTTGGGTTCTCAAATGAAAACTTTAAAAAGGGCTTTTTATCAAAAATGGCTTTATGAAACGCATCCTGGTTTGCGAATTTTTGATTTCCTTTATGGAATAAGGCAGATCAATTTACTGCTTAATTCTGGGATTTAGAGTTGTACTTCTGGTTGCTACATGAATCCCTAAATGTTACTAAGCAATGTTACGTTTAGAGGCAATGAAACGGGTGCTGCCACTGAAGGAGCGTTGTAGAAACTTTCTCTTCCTCAGCCTGACGAAGAAACGATAGGCTTTCTGAGTGGTTTGGTTTTATTCCCTAGTGGCCACTAGATGGAGCCCAAATTTTGTGACTAGGTCAGCTACTCAAACTTGACAAGCTTGTACTGGAAGCTTTTTTGTTTTCTTCAAAAATTAATTTTACACTTCAAGCATTATATCAACTACGAGAAGGTGGAACTTACGTACTCTACTGTTTATTTAAACCAACTGTTTTAAACAATTTAAATACCAGTTGGTATCACTGTTTAAATTACCAAACCTTGGGTTTACCTTCAATACCACAATAACTGTATTTGGGGCTTTTTTGCTCGTAACTCTATATATTAACAGATTTTATTTATTTTTTTTTTTTTAGAGCGACAGAATTAAATATTTTTGACTTGCATCATTGATTCCTGGGAAATTATTTCCTGGATTTAGTGAATGACTTCTAAATGCTGTACAAGTGGCACAAGTGTTCTGTGTTTAGATAGGATAATCCTTAGGATCAAACTGAAATGAGGAAAAAATTGCCTTGTATTTTAGCTGTAATTAATTCATAACATGTATCAAGCACAAGAGTAGACAAATGATCAAGTCATAATTTGGATTTTTCGTTCAGCTTTTAGGTTAAAATGTTAGTCATAGCTGGATTATGAGAAACTTCTGTATTGTATTAATAGAAATATGATCTTATCTGTTGCTGAAACTGCTTTTTCGTGAACTGTTGCATTTTGTAACATTTGAAAACTTGATCGTCCATTTTTCAGGTGATCTCAATCATTGAAGTCAATGTTAGTTAAACTGTTGTGAGAGGGTTTTGTGGGAAGCAAAGTGATGCTGATGTGGGCGCTGTTACATCTTGCCGTGGCCACATTTGCTTTGCAGACAGATCAGGTGCCTGTAGAGGTCAGAAAAATGTTTGGTGTCTGATGTCTAACACGAAAATGCTTGGTGTCCATTTTGTAAACGACTACAGCCTGAAAATGCATGGGCACATTTACTGATGCATTTTTCTGTTTTGAGCAGATGTTGGTTTGGAAGAACCTTTTCTGGGTAATTTTCATCAACCAGTGAATTAAAAAGTGAAAGCTGTTAAATAGCGCTATTTGAAATATTCCATTAAGTTACCATGTGTAAGTTTTTGTACGTTTCAGAGTATAGCTGATAAATTGGGCCTGGGCGTTGACATTGTTTCATAAACCAAGTTTGAAATAGTAATAGCAACAACATATATTTTAGAATCTTTCAGTGTGCCCAGAGGATGAATCAATCATCATGTCCTCCTTTGTAAACACGATGACTTCACTAAGCGTGAAACAAGGTAAATTTAAATGAACTTGGGAAAATGGTAACAGAATGGATGATTCCTTTGGAAAGCTTCATTACCTTTTTTGTTTCATGCAATCAGTAGAAGCAGGTAACTTGCATAAATTGAATTTGTTCTCTTATTTTTCCCTTGTTATGGTATCTGCTGCTTGTTGTGTGTCCCTTTTCCAGGGCAGCTCTATAGAGATAGAGCTTTTGAAGAATGCTATTGGGAAGTAATCCTACCTTTCAATTTAGAAAGCATGTTACACATGTTTTCATCCAGATGTTTGAATTCTTATTAGTATGGCTGTGCTGGATAGAAATTTTAGGTAAATAGTTTAGAAAATTTTTTTTTTTTTTTTTTTTCTTTTTTAGGTAAAAGCATGAGGTTCAGTTTCCAAGTAATTCTTGAGTACTTTGGGGTTTTTTAGAAGGTCTGATGTAGCATATCTGAATTTGAAGTTGTTTTCTTAAAAATTTTATGTTCTGTGTTTTTTTTTTCCCTGATGCAGTTGAAGACGGAGAGGTATTTGACTTCAGAGGAATGAGATTAGATTGGTTTAGACTGCAGGTAAGACTTTGTAAATGTGTGTGACACGTCACTAACTTAAAACCAAAATGTTTAATATATTACTGCTCTTCTAGATTACTCTCACACTGCAGGTGGATGACAGGCTATTTAAGAATAACCAACCCCTTTAAAATCAAGCAAATACTTGAGCAGATAAGTTGCTACATTTTGATGTAACTTTGTCTGCATTGCATACTTTTTACAAATCATCCTTTGGGGTGTTTGTAACAGTTCGGAAATAGAATGTGTTGAGGATGAGCAGTTTGTTGGCGGCTGTGCGCTGTACGGGGTGTGATTCTTGGCCTGCCCAGCCAAGCGAAGGTAGAGACTGTTCAGTGAGAAAATGATGTTCAGTGAGATCGCTCCTGTGCGTTACAGTAACAGTATCTTCAATTCACTTAATTAAAAGGGGAGAATACTGTTTAGGCTGTAAATCAGTTGTTTTGAGATTACGTAGACATGTTATTTTTACATTTTCAAAATGGACATTCTTATTCTTGCTTTCCAGAAACTGATTGTTAAAAGTGGAAGCTCACAGGTGCATGTTTGTGTTTTGCCAATACATTTGCTCTACAGTTTATCTGTCAATTGGTGTCGTATTCAAATGACATTTGGAGACTTCATTGAAAGGCAGTTTGCTTTTCTTAAGCTATAGTGGAAAGATAAAACAGTCTACCCATGGTCTTTAAGTACACAGGTGTCCTATGCATAGTATAATCAGTATTTAACATTTCTATTGGGCAATAGCAATTGAACTTTCGAAAAAGCAGCTGTAGATATAACATAAAAGTTTTCTTGTTTCTTCCCAGGCCTACACCAGCGTTTCTAAAGCTTCGCTTAGTCTTGCAGACCACAGAGAACTAGGAAAAATGATGAACACAATCATTTTCCACACAAAAATGGTAGATTCTTTGGTGGAGATGTTGGTTGAAACCTCAGATCTTTCTATATTTTGGTATGTTACTAACCTGACTGTAGATGGTTTATATTATTTATTGTTTGGATTGTCCTCACATGTGTAATGTTTAAATAGCAAAGTTTGTAGGAAGATAGGCCGGTGGGAGAATCAATTAAATTTGTGGTTTCCATCAGAATTAGCTTGATGAAGGTATTTCTGAAGGTCTGTCAGAGAGATTCTTCAAGCAGTCACATAATTGATCTGGGGTCATTTGCAAGAGTCTTCCTTAATACATTTTTGCAAAGGGTGCAAGTTTTTGCAGTACCTATGTGGCAAACACCAGAATCAAAATACGATGATGATGATGATGATGATAATAATAGAGAGAGATGCAAATAAAATGCATAAGAAGTGAATGCAGAAAACAAACTTCTTTGAAAGCATGATGCAGTTTTTGGTATAACTACAAATTTGAAACTAACAGCATGTTTGATTTGCATGAAGTATACTTTATTTGCAGCAAAATTATGTATGTATTCTATTTAAATGTCTATTTCTGATCAGCTTTTATAGTCGTGCTTTTGAGAAGATGTTTCAGCAGTGTTTGGAGCTTCCTTCTCAATCAAGATACTCAATTGCATTCCCACTGCTTTGTACTCATTTTATGAGCTGTACCCATGAACTATGTCCAGAAGAGGTAATTTTTAAATATATTGTTTTAGTTATTTTCATCTCTCCTTTCAAGTAGAGAGGACTAGAGCTGAACACTGCAAGAAGGTGTTTGTTATGGCAATATAAGATTTAAGAGAGGAGAGTGGTGAAAAGGGAGGTAAAGAAGTAGATACCTTCTTATGTGATTCTTCACCCATAGATCTCAAAATCCTTTTCTGAAGTGAATAAGCATTATAATCTTTGCTGTAAAGAGAGATTAAACTAAGGTACAAAGGTTAGAAGATTTTTCTGCTGTCATTCAGGTTTATATGCTAGCAAATACTCTATGCCTATTAAAACTTAGAAGCCTAACAGTTTTCTTTCAAATGGTTTATAAACTCATAGTTATTAAAAGGAAATAGGGAGGCTTGTTGTAGATAGTGTTTCTTCAGTAAGAGTAAAAAAAAAAATCCAAAGCGATACATAATATAATGCAAGCATTTGTTTTGGTAAGAACCGGTTAATGCCAGCCCTCTTTGGTTAGAATTATAAATTAAAAAATGCAGGCTGTTGCTTAAAGAAGTGTTCCCTTTGTTAAAGGAAGTCGTTTGATTCTGAAGAAATTATTTCTGTTTTTGTTGTAATGAAATACATCCTCTAATACATTTCCTGTCTGTCCATTGGCTTTGGAATGACTCCAGGGGGTTGGGTTGGCCAGTTTTGTGTAGTGCTCATGAAAAGTGGGCTTTCATTCCTAACAGTGTTCATCTGAAACAATTAGATGAATAAGAGCTATTGTACTCTTGGTTGTGATGTTGGTTTTTCTTATTTAAACATTAAATCCTCTTCTGTTAAACTTCATTTCAGTATTATGTCTATATCATTATTTTCCCTGTATACTTTGCTTTAAACAGCTGCAAACTCTATTTATACCAGACAACCACTAAAAAGTTTCCAGGAAAGCTTCCTTTCAGGACAAGAGATGTCTTTCAGAACAATTACAGTAACAGTAAGGAATCAGTAGCCAAAGTCCACTCTATGCTAGTTACTGTGAATTCAGCTGCAGCAAGCACATTTTGCCACAACCAGCAGAACTTTGAATTCAGTATGTGAATTGTATGACTTGGTAACTGTTACCATTTTGGAAAAATAATCTTTGCTGTACACTGTACAGTGTGTGGTTAGACAGTGTGTGGCTGTTAGACAGTAAACATTGGTAGTGAAAGAAGAATTTCAATGAGACAGAGCCTATGTTTGTGCAGATCCAGTGACAAAGGAGCTGACTCCAGAAATGAATGCATCAGGGCTTCATTATTGACTTTTTCAGTGGTATGAAGGACACTGTGCTTTCTCTGTAGCTTGAGTTGCATGCTCTTTTTCTCCTAGATTTAGTACTGGTACAATTTAATGGCGAGGAGATTCACAGAAACCTTGAGTATTGGACACATTAAAGTAGATTCGGTCCAAAGTTAAACATGAAAACCTACTTTTTAAAATATGTTTTGCCTCCTTTTACAGAAAATGTTTTGCAAGATATGGCAAGCAAAATGTTTCAAATTATAATATGCCATGTCAGTGACTTTGAAAATTTTATGGTTCAAGTTGCTTCCCAAAAAATTAGATAGATAAATAAATCCTGGAGCTGAGATTATTGAGGACTTATTAATTTATTATTTCTCATACCCTCGTGTTACACGATTTAGTGAACTGTTATCTGCAGTACAGTGTGTTGTGTGTGACTATTGTAGGACTAACAGGAAACTGAAAATCAGACTTCCTGGTGTTTTTTCTTCTTTAACAGCGACACCATATTGGAGATCGTAGTCTTTCCTTATGTAACATGTTCTTGGATGAAATGGCTAAGCAAGCTCGAAATCTTATCACAGATATTTGCACAGAACAATGTACACTGAGTGATCAGGTGAGTGTGGTTGTGTCTCTGTTAATTCTCCTTTGAGATTTTTCTCTGTTCAACTTTCTGAATTTTTATGGTTATATTTCCTGTTCAATTTTTTTCTCTGTTTTGGGGAATTTCTCTGTTTATAAAATGGAAAGTGATTTGAGGAAGACTTTTTAATATTAGGATTGTGTAGTTAGTAGTCAAAGGAAGAAGGTGGTACTTGTGTGATGAAGTCTCCACCTGGACCATAAGCTTATTTTGTATCTCATGGCTGCCAAAAAGTTGGATTTTAATTTGCAGGGTCTGTTTCTTTTTGTTTACTAGTTGCTGCCAAAGCATTGTGCCAAAACCATCAGTCAAGCAGTGAACAAAAAGTCAAAAAAACAGACTGGAAAGAAAGGAGAACCTGAAAGGGAGAAACCAGGAGTAGAAAGCATGAGGAAAAACAGATTGGTTGTGACAAAGTAAGCTGCCTCTTCTGTTCCTTTCACCTTGAATCCCAAGTCAAAACGTGTGTGCTTTGCCTGTTGAATGCTTCTTGCTTAATTTATTTGAGTAAGTTTAATTGACTGTAAATACAACAACTTTATTGTTTGTGAGCATATGATGCTTCTGTAGCTTGTATAGAGACTGAATTCAGTTACATAAAGCAATAGGAATGTGTATCCCTTGAATTTATCCCCTCAGCTGTTTCCTTTCCTAAACAGAAAGCATCCTTGTCCTGTAGCTAGGTCTCCTGCATAGTCATATTACAGGCTTGAGAAATGGGCCTGTGTGAACCTCGTGAGGTTCAACAAGGCCCAGTGCAGGGTCCTGGCCCTGGATCGGGGCAACCCCGGTATCAGTACAGGCTGGGGGATGAAGGGATCAAGAGCAGCCCTGCCCAGAAGGACTTGCGGGTACTGGTGGGTGAAAAGCTGGACAGGAGCTGGCAAGGTGCGCTCACAGCCCAGAAGGCCAACTGTGTCCTGGGCTGTGTCAAAAGCAGTGTGGCCAGCAGGTGGAAGGAGGGGATTCTGCCCCTCTGCTCCATTCTGGTGGGAGACCCCATCTGCGGTGATGTGTCCAGCTCTGGAGCCCTCAGCACAGGAAAGACATGGACCTGTTGGAGAGGGTCCAGAGGAGGCCACAGAAATGCTCCGAGGGCTGGAACAGCTCTGCTGTGAGGACAGGCTGGGAGAGCTGGGGTTGTTCAGCCTGGAGAAGAGAAGACTCTGGGGAGACCTTATTGCCGCCTGCCAGTACTCAATGGGGGCCTATAAGAAAGGTGGGGACAGACTTTTTAGCAGGGCCTGTTGCAACACGACAAGGGTTAATGGTTTTAAACTAAAAGAGGCTAGATATAAGAAAGAAATTTGTTACGATGAGGGTGGTGAAACGCTGGCCCAGGATGCCCAGAGAGGTGGTAGCTGCCCCATCCCTGGAACCATCCCAGGTTGGGTTGGACGGGGCTCTGAGCAACCTGCTGTAGTTGCAGATGTCCCTGCTCCCTGCAGGGGGGGTGGACTAGATGACCTTTGAAGGTCCCTTCCAAGCCAAACTATTCTGTGATTCTGTATGAATTGTTGCAGAGGTGGGAGTGGATGGCATCTTCAATTCTGCCTTGCTTTAACACTGTTAACTAGGTGAAGTACAGGCTGGGTTGGAAGTTCTGGCCGATGAAAGGCTGTGTGCTGTCTTCAGCCGCTGGGATGGAGTTGAGGCTCCAGTGCTTGTACCAATGGGGGAAGGTTTCCTTGTTAGTGGCTATAGAAAAATTGCGGACACCGGCAAATCAGTAACAAAACCGAAAAACCCACCAGAAAGAGATAAGAGGAAAGATTAATAAATTTAAGTTTGAGGTGTAAGACGTGATAGGGGAGGAAAAGGTAGAAGATAACTGTTAGGAGAGATCAGAGGACAAGATGGTAGAGTGATAAAAGTATGAAGAGGAAGGAAGCTAAGAAAAGGAAACATTAATGTTTAGTGTTGTGGCTGGGAGTGCCTAAACACACACACTGCTGAAAGGGAAGTGGTTTTGCAACAGTTACAACAACCAAACATCAGAGAACTGTAAAGACTAGAGAAGTTGAGGGTAAAGAACTTGCTTGTAGCTGAAGATCTCTCCCCCAGTATTTTTAATTTTTTAGTACTGGCTAGTAGCAAACGTTACTTGTATTGCTTAGTTCAGTTATGAAAAAAACACCTTAACAGAATGTTCTTTTTGAGGGGAAAAATATACATTTTTTTAATACATATTTTTTATATATATCTCTCATCGCTGTGTGTGATGCAGATCAGTATGCAGTTGTAGGATGTGTTCTTACCCAAAGTAATGTATTTAAATAAGCTAGAAAACTGTCTCAGAGCAGAAAAAGATAATGAAAGGAAATTAGAGTTGTTCCTGCTCTTGAGACATCTTCCATCCAGTGTGTGCTTTCCATGATAATACACATTTATGTTGCATTAAATATTTTTTCTTAATTTCTTGTTGCCTCTTTTTACAGCCTGGACAAACTGCACACTGCACTTTCTGAGCTCTGCTTCTCAATCAATTACGTTCCAAACATGGTGGTTTGGGAACACACGTTTACCCCAAGAGAATACTTAACATCTCACCTGGAAATCCGCTTTACCAAGTAAGAAATATTGTAAAGCTAGAAATATTCATATGCAAGATAAGTCTTTGCTGATTTATTGTTGGAAGTATTGTTTACTTACTGCATAAAACTAGTTTTTAAAGGTGACTTGTGAAAGTCATAAATCAAATTCTGACTAAAATGACAGTTCAGTTATATGTGCACACATACACAATTGTTAGTTCCTATTTTAAAACAAAACATATTGAAATGCATATCACTTATTTAACAGCCTGATCTTGCATTCCTAGTCCTGTGTATTTTGTACAACAAAAAACTTTTTTTGTTAAAATAAGAAGTGTTGCCACTTGATATTCCTGTCTGTTCTTACCCTGATCTTCCCATTGTTATTTACAGGAATAGGCAAATGGCAGCTTCTGGAGAGGATTTCATATTAAAACAGCCAGTTATCATAGTTGTATTTTATGCCAAAGATTATTAGTTACACATTCCAAGCAGGGTATAAAGACTTAAAGTTTTAATCATCAAGACATAATATAGGTCACTACAGCACTCCATCTTTCAAGTAAGACAAGGTGGCATAAAAGTGAAGGTTATGTCATGACTTTATAAGAAGTCAGCTGTAATCTTCAGGTTTATGAACTTTGACCAATGTTGGTCACTCGTGCTTAGTTTTTTAGTTTTGCAGGGTTTGGCTTGTGATTTGGGGCTGAAGCCATAGGCAGATGACTTTCAGAGACCGTGTTCCTTTTTCTTGCCCCATGAGAGAAATGAGATTTGCTAGCCAAAGAGAATAAATGTTCAATTTATTATGATTTTTCAGATATTTAAGTGCTATTTCTTCCAAAGGCTTGCAGTTTACCTTTAAATAAAGTGTTAGTGTTTCAGTGTTTGGAGTTTTCTTTGTTTACTGTTTTAACCTGGTCTGTTTCATGTATGATTGGACTAGAGCTTATTATTATGGCACTTAATCTTGTAATAATGCCAATTTTGAATTGATTTTAAAACAAAAGAGAGACTGTTTTGGAAGTAACCTTGTGAAAATACTTATTTACACATTTACAAGCAACAACAACAAAGTTACTTAAATAAGCTGATGTTCTCCTCCGGAACAGCTCATCTCGTTCACCTCTGAAGGTAGTAAACTACCAATTTCTTTTTTTGTTTTGTTGCTGTTCTGCCTTTGAGAAGTACATACCACTCAAAAGCTTAGATCTGAAAGTCTGAGACCATTATAAGCCTAAAATTAATACTACAGCAAGTATTTGTTTACTAAGAAGACTTTGTTTGCTTTAAGGACCCGCTGATGTAGTTTGCTTGAGGGCCTGGTTTCAGTGAGATACTGAGTAAAGTCCACGTCCATTTATGTTAAAAGGGCATATACAATCCTTTGTGCAGTTCTGATCTAGCTTGAAAGCTAGCCTGATGTATAGGACATCTATTATTAGAAGCCTGGTTTTATTTATAGTGAGAATTTGAACAAATCAAAGTATGTCCTGCAATTTCTTGATTTTTTAACTAAAGATAGAAATAACTGCGTCAGCTAAAGGGTTTTTTCATTAATAAGATGTTCTATTTATTTGCTTAAGTTATACCCAAGTTTTTAAAATTGTCTATACAGATATAACTGAAGCTTACCTACCAAATGATATAAAAATATTTCCTTGTATCTGCTTACAGGATACTTGCCGAGAAGCATTAGCTGTTGAAAGCAGAGCTTCTGATAACTTTCTTGAAAAGTTATTTAAAACAGTTAAAATGTAATTTAAAAAAAAAAACCATGCTCGAGGAAAGCTATCTGTATTGCAAAAGAGATGACATCTTTCAAGATAACTATGAGATTTTTGTTTTAATACTGCGTGAGCTGAGGCAAAAAGATTATATAATATGGTCTGCATCTTACAAAATTTATGCACTCAAGTACAGTGGGCATAGTTAATATCACGAGATAATCAGATATGCCTTTAAATACTTATGCAAAGCAACACAAGATAGAAGTTTTGCTTTGAAAATTTTCAATTCAAACTTAATTTATAACTAAAACATTTCTTTACAGATACTTCAAACTACAACTCTGACAGTAACTTTGGTCAATGAATTTTTGCCTTAGTTAACATGCTTTGAACACTTTAATACATCATTGCTCTTGCATTTCCCAGTTCTGCATTTTAAAAGGCTTCTAACATTAATTCATTTACCAAGGTAGTTGTAATATAAGTCTTCCACATTGTGGATTGCCCTTATATATATGGGGGGGGAGCTTTATTTTAAAAATACTCAGTGAGTATTCTTACAGTCTCATGACATTTTTGCTGGAACCATGAATACAGTTGTCTTTGGCATCTAGAACTATTTTTTAAAGTCCTGGTATAGTACATGCATTGATGAAGAGTTTGGAGAAGTATTCAGATAAAAGCTTTGAATATGAAGTCGTATTTCTAGCTGCATCTCTGTCTCTGTTTAATTTTACTAATAAATGCAATTTTTTGGTTTCCAATTTTTTTGTTTCTAAAAGGTCAATTGTTGGAATGACTATGTATAATCAAGCAACACAAGAGATTGCAAAGCCTTCAGAGCTGCTAACCAGTGTAAGAGCCTATATGACAGTCCTCCAGTCAATAGAAAATTATGTACAGATCGACATTACACGAGTATTTAATAATGTTCTGCTTCAGCAAACCCAGCATTTAGATAGTCACGGTGAGCCAACCATTACCAGTCTGTACACAAATTGGTAAGTAATTATATGAGCACTTGTTACAAGTTTTTTATGTTATTTTTATTCAATTAAAAATCTGGAATTGGAGAAGTGGAGTTGTTTGAAATTTGCTTAAGCTTCTAGCTTGACAGTTTCCTTCTCCTTATACCTGTTAAAAGCACTTTAAGATTTGCCTATTATGAAATTCCCTTTTTATAGGGGAGGAGATGTAGATTAAGATACAGCTATCAGTTGAACTATGAAAGTAGTCTATAGGCTATGCTGTCCCTTGTCACACAAGTATACTTCATCTGTATAGAGTATCTATGACCATGTGTCTTTTCATCTAAAACTTTTTCCCTTTCTGATAAGGTATTTGGAAACTTTGCTACGGCAAGTCAGCAACGGTCACATAGCCTATTTTCCAGCCATGAAGGCATTTGTGAATTTGCCTACAGAAAGTGAATTAACATTTAATGCTGAGGAATACTCTGACATATCAGGTAAACTTTGATGTTTTTACTAATTGTGAGGGATAGTTATTGTATTCTATTACAGAGAGCATTTGTTAACCTTCAGTGGTATTTTAAGTACCTTTTGTTTGTGCTGCCTCTGTCTTGAGGGAGCTCACTTTTCCTATTTTTGGCCAAAGTAGGGTTGTTGCTTTTAAGTTAGAGAGAGGCGTATGATGTGTTGGTGACTGCTGCTTCAGTTCAATTACGGTACTAGTTCTTGTATCTAAAGTTCTACTGTGTGGTAAAATAGTTTTGCAATTAAAACACCATTGCTAGATACATGATGGGCATCAAATAACTGAGGAAGGAATGTTTGAAGTAGAACAGTTTGTTTTATTTCTCAGAAATGAGAGCCCTTTCTGAACTTCTGGGACCATACGGCATGAAGTTCCTAAGTGAAAGTCTGATGTGGCACATTTCTTCACAGGTTGCTGAGCTTAAGGTAACCTTGGGAAACTGGTGGGTGGGAAGGCAGGTGGTTTTCTGTTTAAGCTTCCTTTAGGATATTTAATAGCTATGCTTCTGCATGCCAGCTTTTTGAAATGACTGCATCAAACAAACTGATAAAGCCGTGAATTTTACTTTTATTGTGCAGTACATTTGTGTGTATCCCACATTCTTCAACAGCTGAATGGGCAGGACTTCATGCAGGCTCTGTTGATTTCTGTGTTTAGATACCCTGAGTTAGGAGTCAAATCTCTCCTCGAGTGGGAGGAGAAATGTTTTTCAAGATCTCCTGGCACTTGCAAAGCACTTGCCCAACTCTGTTGACTCTCAAGTGTGAAAGTGTCATATATATCTTAGTCATCTATAAGGACTTACCTTCTTTACCATTTGTGTTAGCTTTTTTTGTTCAGTTTACATGGATGGGAGACTTGAGGTCTTTTTTCTTTGTTAGTTTTCCTTGGTTTTAGACATGTCTTTCCCTCCAGCCTGAACAGTATCCATTTATTGTAAATGTCTATATTCTGATAAATAAGCCTGATACCTACAGCAACACAAACAAGCAATGAAGTTGGTGCCATGAAAAAACACTGGAAATATGGGCATGTCAAGGAAGCTAGCTGCATGTGTATTCAAAACAATGAACAATGACAGGGGAAGCACTTTGTGCCTGTGTAATTAACTCTTTTCTGGAAAGAAGTTTTAATAAATTTAATAACATGTACTACTTTCCCAGGATAGTCATACTATTAAAATGTCACTAATTGGCATATATTTGCTTTTCATATGACTTACTCCTTTAGTGTCATTTCCAAATTTCATTCCAAGTTGTTATTACATCTCATCATTTTCAATTTATTTAACCACTAATTGCAATAAGGGTCTTTTTGTAACTGTTCATGCGTGCTGTGTTTTTAAAAATGCACATGAATACTTAAGAGATCTAAGGAACTTTCATTTTTTAATTCAACAACAATTTATTATTATTAGCATACCAGGCTTTTGAAAGTGTGTGTATTTTAATATATCCCATGTTACAGTATCAGAGGTCTTGTTCTCTCTGCAAATGCTATGAATTTCAGTGCGGCTGAGTTGCTAGGATGTATGATGCCCTAAAAGATTTGAAGCCTTTTATTTGATGTCACAGCTTAAGGAGAGGGAGTGATCATCTTTCCAAGCTGCCGCAAGAGCGTGCAGCAACCCTGACCTGAGTGACCAGCCGGACAGGGTAGTTGATTCCTTATGCCCATTCCAGTCTTTGAGTTTTAGGATGAAACTTTCCAGGTGAGAATGCTGGGATTTTAAGGTTAAATTCTGCAACTCCTGGCTATGTAGAACATGATATCTGTCACATTCAAGTAAAAAACAAAGCCATTGGGCAGATGTTTGTTAGTTGCTGCTGTGTTTGTCCGATTACTGTGGAGTTGTCGTACTTCCTCAAAATCAGCATGATTGATACTGTAGCTCTGTGTATTTGTATTTTTTTTTTTAAAGTAACTTTAAATTGCCTCTGAGATGGTTTGTTTGTTTTTCTGATACTGTTAAGGTTCAGCAGAACATAATGTAGATCCACATGCGCATGACCACATATTTGAAGGAAAAAAATTACGTAATAAAACGTTCATCTCTCTGGCTGAGATGCAGTTGGCTTAGCGAGAGAGGACTGAGAAACATCTGCGTTTGGGGGAAGGAAGCAGAAAGAGGATAGAATGAGGGAATTTAAGTGTAAGGTTCAACATGCTTCCTTTGCTTCCCGCAGTGGGACCAGGTGTTGGTTTTATATCTGCAGTTTAAGACTGGGGCGAAGAGGGGAAGTTTGCCTCATTTAAGCAACTATTTGAACTGTATTCCAGCCTGTTCCTTTTAAACCTTAAACTAATATGCTGGTTATTTTTTGTAAAGCTGGAAGCTTGACTCACTAACAATGTGCGTGGGCTATTGCCTTCAATCTTGCGTTCTGGAGAGCTTTGAGGGAGTTTAAATGAAAATGTCACACATCTGCCAAGTTCTGATACATCGGTTGATTCAAAATTGACTGTCTTGATTTCAGTGCAAACCAGTCTTCCTTTGGCTTTCAGCATAGAAGTACATCTTGTGTGTCTTATGTGCGTGCACATGTGCACACATTCTTGGACGTACTTGGTTTCCTACATCTTGTATAGTTTATTTCTTTGCTTGCTTCTCACTGAAGGTAAGAGGAATGAAAGTGGGAAGACTGGGTGGATTATGGATAGACTTGAGCTTACAGCAATAACACGACCATGGCACAATGTAATTGAGTCTGAGAGATCTAAGCTGTTGAACGGATCTGCTTTGCCCAGGCTACTTGACTAGGAGGTGGGAGTAGAGGCAGGCCACCATTTATTTCATAGCAGCATTATAGTTTTAGTTGTACAGGTTTTTTCTCCTCCTTTGGTCATAGGAATATTTACCCTGAAATTTAATTTCCCTGCAGGTTTGTGTGTGAGGGATAAAATTTTATATGATATATCTTAAATTACTTTCCGGGCTTATAGCAGCCCACATGTCTGATGAATAGTGTTTTTACCTGATCGCTCCTCATCGCTCCTTTTGTTTGTACTGCGTGGTAATTGAGATGGATTGGAATGCATCCACCTGAATAATAAAATTACTAGTAGTCACTTTGGAAGACACCCCCAATCCAAATTATCTTGTTTTCTTCTTCCATCTTTTAGTTCTTTTCTACCTTGACAACGTTTACTGTATAAAGAACTAAATTAAGTCTCCTTGAAAAGAAAGGAAACACTTTCTTCATTTAATGTTCAGAAGCACACAAGATACCTAAATTTACTTAGCTGCATTGTCCTCTACCTAAAGAGAGAACATAATCATATTTTCCATTTCTGAAATAGGGTACTTTGCATTCAAACTGCAAAAATATTTTTTTGTAAGAGTGAAGTACCTATTTCTGCTTCAAGAGAGCTTAAAAATATTACTTGGCACAACGTAAGTTCCTCAGATAGCAAGAAACCCTTTTTGGATTTGACATTTTATAGATGTGATTATGCAAACTCTGCAATTTCAATTTAAATCTGATCCATATTTGGAGCACGATTTCAGGAAAGTTATTACTTTTACCCTAATGCTAAAAGTTGCATGTATGAGAGCTGTTACAAATTAGAAACAGACACGCATTTTCTTTTCTTTTGGTCAAACTGACATAAAAATACCGCACTTGAGTTTAACTGTTTCAGGCTAAGGTGTTGGGACTTGAATGAATATCTTTGTTTTTATCTTATATTATAGTCGAAGAAAATTTCAAGTAAACTGCACCAAGATTTAACAATCTGATTCTTACACTCTTCATTCCATATTTCAATATTACCAACATTAAATTTCTAATCCTTACAGCATCACTAATGAAAGGAGCAACCCAAAAGAATGGATTACTTAGTGAATTGCTTTTTTAATCATATATGTATACTTTTCTTATAAAAAGCTGAGTAGCATGCAAAGCTATTGTCTGTTTTTTACTGAGTTTTATTCTCTTCTTTTAAGAAGTTGTGCACATTGCTGAATATAAAAATAATGTTCCAAGGGGTGTCTAACCCTCTGCTTTTTGATTCAGAGCTTGCTTTTGTGTAGAGTAGTGCATAGCGATAATACTGATACTGTAGTCCTGTTAAGAACATAGTGGGTACATCTGTATTCCATGAGTTTAGTTGCCTCTCTGCCACATTGAGATATCCTAAACCACGCATTTGTCCTGTTAACGTACTGCAATCTATAGCTGACCTGAACCCTTGCTTCTCTTTAGAAACTTGTAGTGGAGAATGTTGAAGTTCTAACACAAATGAGGACCAGCTTCGACAAGCCAGACCAGATGGCAGCACTCTTTAAAAGACTATCATGTGGGTAACTAGCAAGGTCCTACTAAAGATACAGAACTGTTTTTTTAATCTTTGTCTTTGTAAAGAAAATGAGACAATTAATTTCTCTGTATTAAAGTACACAGAAGCAGCAAGATATAGGTGAGCTCATACAAACTGATGATCTTTTAAAAATTTTCCAGTCTTCTCATGCACAGACAAAATGAGATTTCAGTGTTAATTAGTAGACGGGCACTATAGTAGTGATGAGCTTTGAGCATCTTTTCAGGCATATATAGCTATTTCGCATAGCTATAATAGCAGTAATCTGCAAACCAGGCACATAGCTGTAGAATACCGAACATGGGCTTTTTTGACACACGTTTCTGTTTTGATTCCATCACAGTGTAAATTACTGCATTCTTTGGAAGGATTTTTGCAGGTAATTAACATGAGTAATTATTTTTAACAAAAATAATTGTTATAGAGAGACTTTTGGCCTTGAGAAAACATGGAACTAGTGTTAGCATCCAGTGTTGTCACCTGTGTGTAATGGGGTTCATTCCATGAAGTGGTTAACAGGATCGTCTTCTACTGAAAACCCCTTTGTCAACTGGGCTATAAAAACCTGCTTAAGCACTGTTTATTTTGGCTCTTTTGAGGAATGCTGTTGTTTCAGTACCTTGTGTTTTTCAGTATTTTGTTAAATGTTTTCTTTCTCTCTTTTGAAGGATTGAGCTTGTAAACATCAGTAGGATTTTGCTCACTGTTGTTCTCATTTCTCTTCAGCTGTTGACAGTGTTTTGAAGAGAATGACCATTATTGGTGTTATCTTGTCGTTTCGGTCGTTGGCACAGGAAGCACTTAGAGATGTAAGAAATAACTGAATATGTTCTGAATAATTTTTATTGTATTTAATTTAATGGAATGATAGGGTATTTGAGGCTTTACTGTTCAGGAATGCTAACTCTTAAAAGGTTGGCATATGGGCAAAATAGCAATACTCGGTCATAACTGAACTTTAATTTGCAAGTTGGGGGTGAGGAATCTACTTCTTGAGTAGTGTTCAGAGAAATGTTACATTAAGATATACAAGTTTTAGTTTGAGCATGCCTCTCAATGTTGTCTTTTAGTACATTTTAAAAGCTTTCATTTCACTTTGTTTGCAAACGGCTTGATTTTGCATTTATTGGGCTTTAATGTCTTAAATCTACAAACTAATTCACATGTATAACATAAAACTTCATTTGAAAAAAAATTAGTAAGTCCAGTAGAATAATGGTAGTGTGGGAAGTACATGGGAAGTACTCTTTCTCATTTTGGATGTGTTTGTGTCTCTTAGGTCTTATCCTACCACATTCCTTTCCTTGTAAGTTCCATCGAGGACTTTAAAGATCACATTCCAAGAGAGACTGACATGAAGGTAATGTTTGGCACAGAGGCTGATGGAGTCATTCTTGGAGCTTAATGAAAATATGTAAGGGGCAAGACTTTCATGCTTAGTGTGAAAAATCAAGAAACAAAGAACACCCTTTTTTTCCAAAGACCTAAGCAGATGTGCATTTGCAGCCTCCTGATGTTCTGGGGAAAAAAAACCAACCAACTTACAGGATAAGGACAAATCTCTATCTGCCTCTGATCACATTTGAGAACTTTTATGGAAAGGATTAAGAACAAAATTTATCAAGCGTTAAAACATGCTAAATGATAAAGGGAACAATACTGAGCTGCTTCATAGTGTGAGCAGTGTAACTGGTGAAACTAAATGTTTCAAGGACTCTGTGTACATGGTTGCAGCTCTATGCATGCACTAGCTACAAGTGGATTTTGACCTTCAGTTGAAAATTCTTGTGAACCCACTCTCTGAAATGCTTGAAAAAAAGGTTAGCAGCTTAAATAAGGTGCCTTGCTTCTGGATGGTAGTATGTTTCCATCCAAGAACCCTTGTCAGTACTTCACGTGGCTTTTGGACACGTATGCATAGTAGCTGCAGCCTAGCTAGTTTTCTGATCTCTTACTGCAGCGTGGAGCATATGAAGGTTTGCCAGCTTGTTAATGGTATTGTGGTAATTTGATCTGCAGAAAATGTGTTGTGGGATATACATTGATTCAGTTTTACAGAAACAATTTTTAGAAATCTGCTCTTGAGCAAAGTACAGTTTTTGAGGGCTGGAATATGTTGTTATTCCTGAACTTGAAGTTTACATTTTGCCATTTGCTCTTGAGGAAAGAAATTAAAGTTCTGTTGTGCATGAAGATTCACTAAATAAAAACCTTTTTTGAAGTACATTAAAAGAACAGTTCAGAGTCCATTATGGGGGGGTCTCATGATTTCAGGAGACACGGTTTAGCATTCTGTCTGAAAATGAATCAGAGGTTGCATGAAGAATATTATAAGTTAATGAAATTCCACACGTATGATATTTCACTTCAAAATATAATGACATGCTCTTTGAAACTTGCAATGCTGATAAACCAGCCATGAAATGTTTGATGTCCCAGAAAGCATTGAAATTCATACCACAATAGAAGAATTCTGAGGAAATGCTATGGAAAATTAACTTCAAGGATACTCGCTCATTATAAAAATTATATCAAAATGATGCAAGTTGCCTTTGCCCTTCTCAAGAAAAGCCTTTCTAAAATTCTCACCTATAATTACAGAGAAAATCATAATCACCAAAGCATCACGTTCCATTATTGAACTTGAGGAATTGGCATGCAGAAGAGATGAGACGGAAAGTTCACTGCTTACTTTGCTTGATCTTTCCAGAAGGCATCTTACACCCTCTTGTATCAAAGGGGTGCTGAAAAACAGGATGGGATAAAGGCTGCAACAGTAATCATTGAAGAAGAGAATATTTTACCATTGATATTTTTATGCTGATGACAACAGATAATTTTAAACATCTCTGTGGATCTCTAAAGACATCACTGAACTTGTTTGTGTTGGCATATACGAGAAAGCATAGTACTTGGTGCCTCTCTTCTGGAAGTCGCTGGAGTACTTCGCAGTCACTGGCCCTTTACTGCTAAATAAAACCATGCTGAGGACTGTTCTCTGGCTAATGCCACGTAGCACCACATAGTAGCCACTGCTTCATGTAATATTTGGCTGTTGGCCTTCTCTGGGTCTGCTGTAGTTCTGCTGTGATTCTTAAATATATCTATTTTGTGTGAGGTTTTTTCCTGGTTCAGAGTGTCTGAAATAAATCCTAAGTGCTGTGGTGCAGCCCACCATGTTGGTTTTCATATGATACCAGCTGTAGATGTCGTGTCTTGTGGTGTGGCACGGTGCCGTGTAGGGTTGTTTGAGAGTACATAGCTTGCCTGGATAATGTTGGAGGACCGTGCATGGAGGAGGAGACAAACCTGTGTAGTCTTGTCCATAGTGCCTACTGGGAATACTGGGAACTCTGATATGTGCTACCCCACAACTCTGCCAGAGCTTTGTCTTGAAAACAGCTTGTTGGAAGGGCCGGGACTGTACTGTGAGCCTGCTAACAATTAAGCCCTGTGGACAGTCAGCAGCTCATTGTCTGAGCTTTCTCCTGGCCTTGTCACATATGGCAGTGCAATTGTAAGCAACAAAATCTTCTTTTGGGACAATAAGGCAGAATTTCTTTTTTTCTTAAATGAAAGCGTGTCAACAGACAGATCTTTACAAGGCTTTGTACAGTGGATTGGGACAGTTGCCCAATTGGGCATATTTTAGGACATAACAACACAGTAATTTCCTGTGTACTGAATTTACCAAGCAAAGCATAAATAGCTCTAAAGTTGTTGATGAAATAAATACTTATTGATGAAATGATATTTTTATTTTAGTATCCCTGAAAGTTATGATTTGGGGTGATGGGCAAAATGGGGATTTATTCTCCTTTGATTTGGTTATTTTTAATATTAAACTGTTGGGATATCTATACAGACTTTCAGAAACAGGCTTGCATTTGTTCCACTATTACTCTTTAACCAGTTTGTTGTGATCCAGCTCCCATTCAGATGCTCTCTAATTCTTTTAATGCAGGACTGGACCCAAGCTAATACTGTATGACCTGCTGACAGCATAGCACTGTGCGAACAACATTGTAGGCTTTTCATATGAGAACTTGCCCTCGGGTAGCCAGGCTGGACCACATGAATAAGGATAGTCTGCACAATATCCCCTGTGTGCAGCTGACCCGCTATATGAGAATTTATGGGCAAAGTGTAAAACTTCTCAAATATTAATGTCAGTAAGACACATTGCTAGCATTTCCCGTAGTCCTTTGTATTTGGCATAAGCCTACTTATGCAGAGATTCATCTAAACTACAGCTTCAGATACTTTGCCCAAAATGTAAGTTGAGGAAAGAGAGAACAACTGCGTTGAATGTTTGTTAATGGCAATAAAAGATACAGCCTGGGACAGGCTGGAAAATGGAATACATTTCAAGATGCTCTTAGTTCCTCCAAGTGTTAGGGCCACTTACAGGTCTAATTCATGGCACTTGGAATCACTGGACACTGAATCTGTATCAAATTTGAGTGCCGTAAAATTTCTGCCTTACTCTAACATTTCACCAGATAGTAACGTTTGGCTTTTGTCTAAAAATGCTATATTTGCAGATGTTAGCTGATACTTTAGATTTAGTGGAGAAAATCTGTTAGTTTCTTTTGAACAGTGAAGAGAGGTGTAGAAACAGATAATTGGAAGTTGGGATGTTTGCTTTGGAGGTAATGTAGAAAAGTATACAAGCTTTGTTTGGCTTGACAAAAGAAATTATAATCTAGCACACAAAGTACTGACCCAGCTGTTCAATGTAGGTTAGAAACAAACAAAAATCTAGAGTCTTTTTATCTTGTTTTAGCCAAGTTTCTGAAATTCCTTAGTGCCTCAAACTCCAATATGAACATTTTAAGCGTGACAGCAAAACTTGTGTTTCATCATGTTTACACAAAAAGCATTCAACGTTGGCTTTTCTGTAATTATCTCTCTTCTGCTCCTCAGGTGGCAATGAATGTATATGAACTGTCATCAGCTGCTGGATTGCCTTGTGAGATTGATCCTGCCTTGGTCGTAGCACTGTCTTCCCAAAAATCAGGTAAGAAGTTACAACTTAAAAATAAATAAAGCAAATAAATAGGAGGAGTAAAAAAAATAAATGCACCCAGGCACGGAAGTATTTAAAGTGCTAGGAGGAGACTTCTATATCTTGGATCATTTGGTGAACTCCATAAATGGCATAAGAACATGAATTATTTGTGCCTGCTGCCTACTGATGTGTTAGCCTGAGAATCTTTTCAACCACATATGAATGCACTTGTTGACCTAGAAAAGAAAAACGAGTAGATGTTCACGGAGTTAACGAGTAGGTGTTGAAGGAGTTTAAAAGCTAGTGGTGAAAGCTGCTGTAATTTAAGCACAATGAAAATAGGACTCTTGTGAACAACTACGGACATGATCAATTCTATTGTACAGGTCTGTAACAAATCTGTCGTGTAAGAGGCATTAGGAGCTGAAATGCCAGCTGAATGCATTTCATGAGTTTCACAACATTGCATTACCAGTGTGTTATACAAGTGTTAACATGGAGCTTACAAGGGGAAACGTGGTAAAATAAACATGTTAATGTTCTAATACGTATAGTGCTTCCTCTTATTTGCTTTAAAGCACCACTGTTTGCACTTTTCAATTTTGTTTACTCCGGCAGGTTCAAAGGCGTGTATTAAGAGTCTTTAAGTGCTTTTTGACAGTCTTCAGCTTCTTTCCCTATCCTCCTTACTGAGCACTTTATTGCTTCTCCCCCCGCCCCCCGTGTGTAATGGATAGTTAATGTTATAATCAGATCGTGAATATTTTAAATGCTACCCAAGTTGTTTTTTCTTGCTTTAATAGTAGGTTTTTTGGGATGGGAAAATACAGCTAATTCCAAAGGGCATTTGAATATTCTAACTTAAGTGTCAAGCACAATTTCTTTGTGTACCTTAAAACAAATACACTGTTTTTTAATGTACATTATATGTGTAATATACATAGATATATCTTTGGAAGATGACTAGTATCTGAAATGGCATTTTTAAATAGGTTCTTTCCACTGTGGTGCAGCTGCGAAATGTTTAAGCTGGGTGAACAAGACAGGGAATTTCTGTATATTTTCATGATTAGTTAAGTTCTTGTATTTTGATTTTTACCTTTGCAGTTTGAAGTATTTTGCTCTTAGTAATTCAGTTTGTACAGATAAAAGTACTGTTTTTCACCAACTGTTGGCTTTTTTTAAACAAATCTTATGTTAATGTGTGGTGATGCTGCTATTTTTGAAAACGCAAGGTTTTAATGTGAATTGAGGTGAGTGCATATCAACTCCTGCTCATTTACCAAAGGGAGGGTGCTCTCCTCACCTCAGAGCAATAACTGGATTTACAGCAGCATGCAAAAATACTATTCTGCTCAGAATATTAGAGTCTTAGTAACTAAACGGTTAGAAGTGATAGGGTTGGCAGTGGCTTGCCCTCATTCTTATAGATGACAAACTGGACATTTTGAAGCTCCACCCTGTATCTTTTGGCAAGACTGACATAATATTCCTCCTTTCACAGTACAGACATTGAGTTTGTTGTTGATGGGTTTAAATTTCAGTTTGGTCAAACATTTTATGTTCTAAACTACCTGCAGTTGAAAGAAATACTTTAAGATGACATCTTTAATTAAAAAACTTTGGTTTTGTTTTTTAGAAAACATTAGTCCAGAAGAAGAATATAAAATTGCTTGCCTTCTCATGGTCTTCGTTGCAGTCTCCTTGCCAACTTTGGCTAGTAATGTGATGTCTCAGTATAGCCCTGCCATTGAAGGTAATGTAGAGTCAGCTAAATAATGACTCTGAATGTTTTCTTCATAATAGTCCTGGTAGTTTCTTGAATACTTCTGCTTTAAATACTTACTTACATTCTGTAGTGAACAAAATTTAAAAATCAGTTAGCCCTAATCCAGGAAAGTTTTCTGAAAGTTACTTTAAAGGTGTTTACTTAACTCTGTTTGAGATAACTTTCTATGAAAAATGAGTCTTCTACTGGAGATTTTAAGAACAGTTCAGATACTGTAGGGGGCAATCTTGTCCTAATACGTGGAACTGCTAGAGCATACGTTCTACATTAATTAGCGTGAGACTTGTTATATAACTAGTATAGATGTTTTAGTAATCTTTACATTGGCTTTGGGCCACTCATACAAGGTGTCTTTTCTATATTTAATATGCTGTTCATATTACTAAGCATAAAGTTTTGAAAACAGTCTGGAAGGTGTAAACTGTGAACAGAAGTATATCCTACACAGTAGTTCAACTTTCTTATTTAAAAAAAAATAAAAATCTTTGCCTCAAGGAAATTCTTCGCATGTAATCCACCAAAAAAAAGTTCTCTTTCAGACAAAATTAAGTTGGGGGGAAAAAAAAAGAAGACTGACAAAACTGTTCCAACACACACAAAAGTCACCTTTTAGCTGTTCAAGCTATTTCCTTTGTGATGTGTAGCATGGCTCACATGAAAGACTTATGTTTATTCTGCATCCATTTACTGGGTACAGTGTGTTTTTTCTACTCCTCTCTTTTTTTTTTTTAAAGTCGCATTATTTTTAATCTGTTCAAAATTTCACTCACTAAGAATGTCTAAACTGACTTCCGAAGATATAAAGTTCTAGGAAAAGACCAAAAATTCTGAAAGCGTTTTGCATCACTCAGTATAGTATGCAGATCACATTTTTTTGAGACACCCAAGATTGTTGTTTTAAATTGGGTTAATTAACATTCCCTTCAGTTTTGAAAGATGAAGGAATTTATTAACTCTAGTTTCATTTTAAACAGATAGTGTAGCCTTTTGCCAGTTGTGGAAAAGTTGGATAAATCTCTGATGCAATGAGCAGAACTTGAACATTGATTTGAAGTTATGAATTTTAAAGTTAACAGCTTTTCTGATGAATAGGGAGAACAATCTGTAACCCGCAGAGTTGCTTCATGTTATCTGCTATGTTATCTCATAGTATTTCTACAGCTTTTTGAAAGCTTTTTCACAGTCATGATGGCTGAATGAAATTCTCAGAATATAGGCAAGAGCAGGGAGTATTAAATGTGATTGGTGAGGGGCATGGGTAGAAACTTGCTTGTTAAAGGGACAGTCAGGTTGGTTCTCTTAACTTAGTCCAAATGAACTTGCTCATGTGTGTTTAAGACCACATCTCTTGAATATTACTTGTTTATAGTTTTGTAAAAGAAACCCTCGGAAAGCACTTGCTGCTACCAGTTTCTCCTTTGAAAGCATCTTACCTGCTATGGAGTCTCAAAACTTAAACTGCTTGCCAGGGGGACAGTACTAACAGTTTTTAATGGTGATTATATTTTCAAATTCTGCCCCTCTGCAAATCTATTTCTGAGAACGTGAGTCAGGCTAACTAGAGGTTCTTCAGCAGGTTAGAGCTCATGCAGGTTTGCCTCCCTCAAACTCCCCTTTCTTCCAAGGACCCTCTCAGTCCTCAGGGCTTTAGCAGGCTGAAACAACAGATGATTCTATCTTCTGCCCGTTTTATATCATGTAGCTTAAATATTCCAGTTTCTGTGATTTCGTTTACATTCAGTAACTCTTAACGTGCAGTCAGACAAAGCCTGTTTCACACTGTGTTCCTAAGTAGGTACAGTTAATAAGATCTCGTAAAACTGTGGCTGGAGAGAAGTTACATCTAGAACTCAAATAAGCCCGTATTAGGAGTTGCTACTGATTTTATGAGATGTGCCCTATGTATTATGTAATTCTTTACTGAGTGGGCTCTTTTTTTATTGCAAGGAAAAGACTCTGGAAAAAGGAATATATAAAATACGTTCACTCTACGAAAATAACTGAACAAACAGAATACACCTTGTCAGTCCTGCGTTCCTTGTATAATACTATTTTTCCTTGCGTTCTGCCCTTATTGTAGAACATCTGGTTTTAGACACTTAATATAGATGCTATTTCCAGAATGAGAACTTAATAAATGCTGCTTTTTATGAAGTAAATTCCCTGGACAAATCCTGAATTTATCCATCAACAAGTCACAGATTTGAAGGAGTTTCAGCTTTCTAAGCTGGCAAGACATACCTCCCAAATACAGACAGCTCTTGGACAGCTTTAGCAATGTCTGCGTTCTCTCTGCCTACTTCAAGATCAAGCCTGTTTCTTCCACTAGCTCCAGATAAAGGCTTAGACTCTAACGGACCTTTATTTTTGTTCCCAGGAAGAAACCTGAACTGCTAGTCAAGTATCAGGCTAGAGGATTAATTTGTCATCTAGAGGCTAGAATAGAACACTAGGCAGCAAGAGACACAGCCTTTTCTAAATACTTGAAACCTGTCGCAGGTTGGAAGACAACAATTGGTCAGCTCAATTCCCTTGCTGATGCTTTTTATACAGTCTCTGAGACATAAAAATGAAGTCACCTCAAAAAATCAAGCCACTTCAAAAACAAATATAAACTTAAATCAGCAGAAGTAAGCAGAACAGATGTTCTTGACTACTGTTCAAGGAAAGTAGTCATCTGTTCTTTTCTTGGACTAGCCTATTCATGCAACAATATTTAATTGAAAAACAGAAGACAGAGTAGGACTATCAACTGGGGGGGGCCTGCTGGTGGAGATAGAGATCTTTGCTGAGTCCTACTAGTCAGCATATTCATAGACCACTCAGAAGGAGAGTGAAGAGTGAGGTGAGAAAATTTTGATATCGTGAAGTTATTGAGGATATTAGAGGAGTAAAGAGCTGCAGATAGGTATTACGATGCTGAGTAAATTGTGCAATAAAATGACAGCTAAAATTCATTTTCAGTAAGAATAGTGATATGCATAGGGGAAAAAAAGAGACTTTTTTTTTTTTTATGTGGAATGATGGGGTCTAGCTGACCTTGCTATTCGGGCATGATCTTGGAGTTACGATAAATGACTGAATGAAAAAATGAGCTCAGTGCTCAGCAATGGTCAAAAAGAATTGGGAAGAATAAGTAGTGTTTGCATGCTTGTATGCTTCTTAACTGCTTCAAGACCACCTCCTTTTCATATGATAGCATTTTGCCAAGATACTTGCCGAGGTGTCTATTAATTTTGTTTTAAAGTGGTAGATTTGATGTAATTTGCCTAGAAGAGATTACAGGCTTACTGAGGAGCAGGTCTGCTTTCTTTGAGAACTGGTGTCACTTAATCACCTTCCAGGCCTCTGAAGCCTGGGGGAATTTTAGGCAAGATGTTACGTACAGCAATTAGCAATTTGGCAGTTTTGTTCTTGAGTTCCTGTAGATCTCTTGGGTGAATGCTATCTGGGAAGAACGACTTGTTCATTTACACAGAGGGGAGGAAAATAGCCAATTAACTTGAAAAAAAATTCTGCTTGCACATGTCTTTTTAGCCTAGTCAGGTGGTAATACTCTCAGGTTTTGTAGAAGCCAAGTAAACTTCCAGTATATTGTTTTTGCTTATTTCTAAAAGCCATGGGGATCTTTTTCAGGTGGTTGTGGCCATTGCAAGGGAGATTGGTACTTCTGTTGGCTTTCCTGACGCCAAGTTCAAAGTACCAGTACTTTGCTCCTGTTGTGTAAGATGCTAAGAGTTGATCTTTCATTGTGACAAATCTGTTCACTCTTTGGTGATATTTTCCAAAGAATACTGTCATTTTCAAACATGATGCTGAGGTAATTTGTGTATGTTTTTGTTTAGGGCATTGCAACAACATTCATTGCTTGGCAAAAGCTATCAACCAGATTGCTGCAGCTTTATTTACCATCCACAAGGGAAGCATTGAAGACCGTCTTAAAGAATTTTTGGCCGTATGTATAACAACTTCATTTCTAGAGCTAGCTCCTCTAAAAAGAGGGGAATCCTCACCTCTTAATGCCCCTCAGTCTGTTTTTATACATAGTCTAGCTTGCGCAGTACTGTTACTAAATTGTGAATGTGTCACTGCAAGTGTTACCTTTACAGCGGCAACCAGCCATGAGTGACCTTAATAAGGGGGGTGTACTATAAAGATTTAGATAAGTACAGATGACTATTGATTAACCAATACTTATTCCAATAGCAATATTGCTTCATAATGCTTGTAATATTACTTATTTCCCTGTAGTTATAGATTGCAGAGAAACTAAAGTTGCTGTATAATACATACAGTGTTGATTTTGATATTAATTTGGGGTGCAATGCAAATGATTTCATATAAATCTGGTGGACAAGAGAGAAAAGCATATTGATAATACAAGTCTATATGTAGATTAAATTAATAGTAGTACTTTAGCAATAGTCAGCTCTGTGTGATGTTGGAAGGTAACAGTAGCAAATCAGTACAAGTGTCGTCATTTTTTTTTTTTTCAGTATAATGTTTAGTATTTTAGCACATACCATCTCTTACTTTGTGTGGCCCATGACCAGAAAAAGAAATGTGCAATGCGTGTAAAATCAAGATTCTGGCTAGCAGACTTTCCGGTGATGCGTTGGACTCTTTAGTTTAGTTTACTTTGTCAGAGAAGGTAACTCTAGAGTGGTTTGAGTTGTACCTTTTGACATGTCTGCCCTTCTTAAACGGCAAGTGTCTGATAGCGGTATGTTACAGGACTATTAGGGGAGAGGAATTTTTGTGCTTCAGAGTAGGTTGAAGATCAAAGCTTCTGAAATCCTCAGTGATGCTTAGAAAAAAAAATCAAAAGCCCTCAGGTAGTGGTGGTGATGCATTTTAAATACGTTTTGGTGTGCTGCCCCAAGTAGAAATAGGGTTTTTAAAGTGGCTTTCAATTAGCTGATACTTGAAGGGAAACCAAAGGCTAAAATGGCAGCTTCACTTGAATTTTTTAAAATTACTACTGATTTTGAGTGATTCTTGATTTTTGCTGTTTGGCCTTGAAATATGAAAAACTATCTCTTCTCCCTCCCCGTATTTTAGGTGCTTTACACACTTAATGGCGGTGGGATAATGGTAACTTTCTGTAACTAGAAGTCCACAGAAACACTTTTTTTTCTTTTTTCTTTTCTCTCTTTTTTTTTTTTTCCCTTAAAAGGATCTTTCATTTCTGGAAGTTCATTGCATTTTGTAAAACAGAAAAAACCTTTGGCCATTGACCTTGTCTAATGCAACTGCTGGCTGTAAAAGATGAAAGAGAAATGGTTGTGTCAAGTTGCATACATTTGACAAGTGATGGAAACCAGTATAGTTTCATGTGATAAAAACGCTTTTGGTATGAGGTTTGCATTTTTTAGTGTTTATGAACTGGTTTCAGACCACTGCTTTTACTTCACAGACCATGACTTGATGGTTCAGATATTTTGATTATCTTTCTTTTCTAACACCTTTTATATATCACTTACTGTTAGTCTGAAAGAAAAACATTTCTCTTAAGCAGAAAAGGTACTGCTGGGGATGATCTGCTTTCCTGTCAAAATTAATTAAATACAGAAAAAACTTACTAGGTTATTTAATACTGATGAGTATTTGCTAAGATTATCTTGAACTATGCACATTCACTTTATATTACAAATTGATTAATGACAGAATTTGTTCAAGAGGAAGCTTGATTTAGATTTTAAAGTTAACATTTTAAGTTAAAATCCATTTCTGGTAAACATGTGGTTTAGGCATGTTGCCATTGCTTGGTGTGAAGGCATAAATGATGGTTGTGCATCCGAAAGTTGAAAAGAGGGGTTTTTTTCCCCCAATTTCTGTAAGGTGTTAAAACATGGATTATTAATGCATCTGCAAATTAAGTATTTTACTGTATTCTGTCATCCTGAGCTTGTAAATACCTAAATACATGTTATAAGTTTCTAGGATATCTTATAAAACTAGTATTGTAGGGTTGCTTATGGTCTGATAAAATAGTAGTCATTTACGTTTAGGATGGCATTTCTTCAATTAAAAATAGAGTTTAGGAAGTAGAACTTAATTTGTCCTTCTATTGCACAATGGACATAACTTCAAGCAATAAAAATTCCGGTCATTTTAAATCTTTGCCAATATGCAGTGTGTTTATATGCATTTTGGGAAGGACAGAGAAAGCGAGATGTTGATCCCATGGAAGTTCTGTCATTAATTTCAGTAGGCTTTATAATGGTCAACCAATGATTACAACCAAGAGTTCTTTGCAATAAATTAATTCACTTTTTTGTATTAAAATAGTACATACTGCTTACTACATACTGTTAGAAATAAAAATGTCTCTCTGAGACTAAAGCCCAGTGATGGTTCATGTGTTCAGGATTACCTACTTTCCTTTGTATTTATTACAAAGTGTTTTGGCTAGGATATTGATTTCTTCAGAAAAGTTTTGTGTCTCTGTGTGTATAGCAAAATAGCAGAAGTCGATCAATGCGTTGTTTTACTTATTGCTTTTAAATGCTCATTTTTATGTAGCTTGCATCATCTAGTCTACTGAAGATTGGCCAGGAGACGGACAAAACTACTACAAGGAACAGAGAGTCTGTTTACCTACTACTAGACATGGTAAGCTTTTGTCTATTTTATGTGTTACTTAAGGAATAGGCTCCACATGGTGTCATTTAACAAGGGGATTTGGGTGTCACCTTGTGTGTTGTAGCTCATCAACCAGTGGAAATAATTTTTTGTCATTCTTCCTGGCATTCTAATGTTGGAAATTAATTTTTTTCATCCCCCCCAACACACACACACATTTTTACTATCATCTTTTGTTGCATAGAACATTATATTACATGGTTCAAATCACTTTCATTGATCTTTTGGCACATACAATATTAAAATGAAATTTCACATTAAAGAATCACTGTTCATAGTGTGTGGGGGAAATGCTCTCTGCTCAGCGATTTTCCTTTTAGTATTCTGTATTTTTTGGAAGTGGCAGGAGTGCTACGTGACTATATATAAAGGAAAGCTAAGTGACTAGCTTTGAGAAGTGGTCAGTTTATAGCCTTGTGTTTCTCCCCAGTGTTTAAACTTTGTAGTATTTGTTTTTGCTGTGAAATATGTGAGCGTTGTTGTGGTGCAGACCAGAAGTATCTCCATAAAATAGATTAGCAGCAGCAGGCAGCAGCAGTTGTTCTGCAAAACCTTGTGTTTCTGGTATTTTTCAGATTGTGCAGGAGTCTCCGTTCCTGACAATGGATCTCTTGGAGTCTTGTTTCCCTTACGTCTTGCTGAGAAATGCATACCATGCTGTCTACAAACAAAGCGTCACATCCTCTGCCTAAGTATCTACTTACTGGAGATAAGACATAGCACGCATCTGTGTGGCCTCAGTTTTATCTGTAAACTGTGGAGCTATTTTACTTTATGGCCTGATGAACAGTTTTGTGGATTATAAACTTTTTCCATGAAGTTGTATTTCTGATCAGTGGTTTCTTAATATGGTTGTACTGCAATATAAGCTTGGTTGATTTTAGGTTGCACATTCATGGAAAATCTTTTTTCTCGTTTTTTTCCTTTTTTTTTTTTTTTTTTACTTTAGAGCATCAGTTATGTTTTAAAAAATACTACTTCTGCTATATGTTTTTTGATATTGATCATGCAAAACAAAAATTGCTCGTTTATTTCCCAGAAGAAAAATGTATTTAGTGATTATTTTAGATAGTGTAGCTTTCATCTGTGTGTAAATTATTTCATATAGGGAGAGTTATAATCTTGTACCTATTGTTCTTATTGAAAACAAATATTGGATGTGCATTTCTGTGAAGTAATTACAGCATTTCTAGTTTTATTTTGAAACATTCACCGATCTACATACTATGACACTATCTAACATTAAAAATGTTATAGGACTGCTTATCCTTCAGACAGCGATCCTCTCCTGATACTCTTAAACAACAGCAAGTGGTGTTGTTTGTATAAAGCATAGTGGAAATTTTTTTTAAACTAACTTCTGTGGTGCCCTGTTGGCATTAACACTACCATTGTACCCTGCTGTATAATAAACATTCTTACACATTTATCACATGTTGATAAAATGTTAGCCCTTAACCACTTTTTATATGTTTTAAATTTTTGAAATTCAAGTGTACCTTCCATAACATACAATAAACACTAGACTGTATTATCTGTAGGTGAATTATTTTTAATATAAATGTTATCCTAGTATTTTAAGCTTAAACTGTGCTGTTGTGCATTGATTTACATCTCACAGTTCATTAAATATCAATCCTTAGAGCTTTTATGTGAAGATTTCTTTTAATCCTTCACCTTTTGGCTTCTGCGATAGTGAATCTTGTAAAAAGTTGGAAGGAGGAATTAAAAACAATGTAAAAAGTGTCAGTTTAGTGCCATTATCCTTTATATCTTAATTTTACATAATAAAGTGAGAAAAGCATTTATGTAGTACGTAGCGATGCCAGTTGTATCCATAAAAATAAGTGTATTGTTAAAATATAAAACTTGAAATAATCATAATCAAACGAGAGTGTGTTGCTAAAACCATAACATCAGACATTACCGAGACAGACGTATAATAGGCCTTTTTTTATCAATTGTGCACATTGGCACGCAGGATAGCATCGGCTCATTTAGCCTGAAAGCTGACCAGATGGTTGTGCTCTTTAATCCACAGCATATAAAAGCTATGTGTTTCTCAACAGGCTCTGGACATTGTATAGAGCCCCCGTTCTTGATGCAACTTCTGTGCATGCTGGTAACTTTTTCTATTATGAAAGAGCTGTTGTGTGCTCGGTTACAATAGCTTCCTCTGTCCAGAGGAAAAAAGTACTGGAATAAAATTGTCCTAAGGAGGTAAGACAGTACATCTATATTTTTCCTAATTATGCATTTTATGTTATAACCATGGAACTGTTTTTAAATTGATAATTTAGAACCATACGAATAAGTTCGTTCATAAAGAGGTTAGGTTGAATGCGAGACTTGAGAGTTCTATTCTGTAATATTTATAGTCTAATTCATTCAAATGTCTTGGTTTTAATTAAGATTTTTGATTGTAATGTAGCCTTCTGTGGAAAAATAATGCCTGTTTTCAAGACTGACTTGAAAAACTCGAGTTTAAGAAATAACCTATTTTGTGTCTTTAATCTTTTTAAGTACAAAGCAATTGTATTTGGATCCCTGTCAGCTTTCCCCTGTCTTGAGGTGTTACTGAACTAGGCCTAGAAAATAGGTAATCTCTGACGAACGGATAACGAGTGCAGTGTCTCTGCCAGAAGCTACTTCTGACGCAGTTGGATTAGATTTAGTTGTGAACGTTTTAGATTCGTCGGTTTCTGTGGGAGCCCTTACATGATAGTGCTGTGCTGTCTGGCACACAAATGCCTGAGATGATGCCTTTTTAACGACCCTTCCTGCAAGAGCTCGCAGCAAGCTCAGAACCAAACCAAAGAATGGGGAAATTGGGGAAGAAGTATGTGGACTCATCCATCTATTGTTTAGTTTTGGGTAGGGGTGGGAGGGTGTCTGTACTTTGTTCTTGCTTGCTGTATTTCTGTTACTTCTGGTTTCAGCTGAGCTGCCACAAAGCTGCAGAGCACATCAAGCATAGGCTTCAAGTGCAGCTTGTGTCCATGCACTACACAAACCGTGTTGAACCAAGCTTCTTTGGGGAAGAAGGTAGAGGAGGAATTCTTCCTCTGGAGCCAGCAACACTATGTCCGCAACTTAGTAAGTTCAGCTGTTGACATTGTCTATTGAGTCATCTCAGGTGGCCTTTTGTGCATTTCCAGAAGTGTTTGTAATTCCTGGAGCATGAAACACAGACTGCTGAGCTGGTCCCATATGGAGCCAGTTTGGATCAAATGTCTAATTCGCGGGGGAGGGCTCTGCCTCATGCGAGAGAGAGCATGGGAGAAGAATGTCTTGTTGCTGCCCAGAAAACTGTTTTTATAATTTAAAAAGATGTGTCCCCCAGGACTAAAGATCACCATTGAAAACCAGGGCTATTTGTTTTCTAGATAGAAAAAGGAATCGGTAACTGAACTTGATACTTGGAGTAAACTAGTTTTGGTGCACTGAAGAGTGGCATTCTCTCCAGAGAATGTTGAAATGAGGCTGGTGATTTGAGGAAAGATATGAGGCTTCTTCATCAGGTCATCATGGGCTTATATGACTTCAGAGCTTATTCATTCCAGAATCAAGAATTCTCAACCATAAGTAAATATACCTTGCCTCTAAACTGTATTTTTGCCAAGAGTTTCCCTGGTCCTGGGATTCAGCATTGTGATTCATACTAAAAAGTGAACTCTGTTGCTTACCAGTTACTATTACAAATTCTTTAAGTTTGGGTATGTCTGAACTAATGCTGTAACATGTTTTTGGTGAATCACTCCATCAAGCTGAACCAAACTCCAAGCTAGGTTTATAGGTACAGCCAGTTATCCTGTTGAATCAGTAAAAGTTTTTTAGACATAGGCTTCAAATTGTTTTTATATTCAAATACAAGCATCTTTTAACTCCCTGATACATTTTGAATACTATCGAAGTAATTTATTGTAGTTGTATTCACTGCTAAACTTGGCTGCTAAATTAAGGACCGAAGGAATACGGGGAAACTGCTTTTGTTTCAATTCTTGTGGCTAGCTCTGATATACTGGCACAGCTGGCTGTGCAAAGCAAGGTAATTTAAATGACAGCTACACACATTTGATTTGGTTTCATGGATGAGGACCACTGTTTTCAGTGTTGCCAAGTAACTAGTTTTCAAGAAATACTTAAGTTCTGCCTATTTTTTTCTTTATTTTTAATCATTTTTATGATAAATGTAAAATTTCCTCTGAAATGACAAAAGTTTTTTACTTGACTTGACCACTCCTTGTATGCTTTTACTATTCATCATGTTATAAAGTCTGTAAATATTTGTATAAACACATAAAAAAATCAGAACGGCCCCCGACCTGTGTCCAAAACCATATCTAACTTGCTATTAGTCATGCTGTTTCTAGTACTACTAGGTCAAAACGTCCTGCTCACTGGATATAGTGTCAGTGTGTCTTACACAATTCAATAATAGAAAACGTTGGTATTAACATCAGAATGAAAAGCATATGCTGAGCTTAGCATAAAGCAAGGGGTTTTGAATGGTTGCTTGTGTGGACTTTCAGGCTATTGCCTTGTTCATGATAATAGTAATCTTAAAAAGTGCCTCCTCACAAATAATGAAGGTAAATAATAAAAAAATTACACTGACACCGGTGTGAGGACAGATGTGAGCTGCAAAGCTATTGCAGCTGCATGTTTAAAAGCCTGATGCTAATAGATCCAGTTCTTGGTCTACTAAGAACATAATTTTGTATCTTGTCAGTGCTCGCTTCAGATTGCGACCGGAAGATGGGGAAGGCATTATCTCAGGTTTCCTGTGAGCTCTGCTGCACTTGCCCTCCCTGCAAGTCATTAGCCTTTGAGTTTGGCTACATCTGAGGTAAACTCTGTGGGCAGCCAGTGCAGAGAACAGAAGATTTGCATTTGGCATGGGCAGTATTATTTCTAAATACAAATTAAATTGTAATCTTTTTAATAATAACAAGGACACAACAGTAATAACAATGAAACCATTCCTTGCATAGGCACACAAAGGAAAGAGAAGTAAAACTAAGAATGCACTGTAAATTAACCTTATGCTAATTATGGTGATACAAAAGAAGAGTGAGAAGAAAAAGGAGGCCAGAGGGGAGTTGAAAGTGGTGATCACAGAGTGCTCAGAGAAGTTAGGAAAGATGTTGCTCAGTGATTCTGAGTCCATTTTGTAATTCTGAAGCCTTACTTGACACTTCATGCATTAAATCTAGATTGTGGCGCTCAGGCTTCAGAACTGCATTTAAAAATTTCAACTGGGGTATGATCTGTTTTCTCACTTTGTATGTGAAGCAAACTTGTCCAGCTTTAGGATCATTTGTAAATAAAGGATACTGGAAAGCGTAAAACTTTGAGGCGTCTCAGTATGAGCGTGTCTTTGCCAAGACCAAGTCAGCAGAACTGGGTAGGAACAGCCCTCTCATGCCTGCTACAGTGAAACACTAAAGATGGTCTAGGGCTGTTTGGATTTAGTTCCATTTATGTCTTGAAAGTGGAACATGTCAGGGATGGTGTTTAATGTTACAGTGAGATTAGGTAAGTGAAAGAGTTCATCTCAGCAGTTTGTTATTTTGGGTAAGAAAGCACCTCAAGGGGCTGAAAAGCAGCTGAGAAACTGGGCTGAGCCTGTGACACTTGCTTTAGAGGTAACTTCTTTAGGGAGATAATTGCACCACTGCTTTCATAGTGATTTTTTTTTTAATGTCAAGAAAATAAGTGAACTTTTATCTAGTAACAGCTCAGAGGGAAACAGTAGCGACAAGACAGTAATAATGCGTTGAATTTTATCATATAACACTAACTGTTTGCTGGATAATCCATGGTGGCACAGGCGTGGATTTTATTGGCCAAGCTGACACTTAGTATAGTTGCAATAGGTATCAGATGCCTTTCAAGAAGAATCCTGGAGTGTTTCAAACCAACATCACCTTGGAGCTTCTCAAAATCTCAGTTACTGGCAGAAGATCCAAGCAGCAAAACAAGACAAGTTGCCTATCAATATTGTAATTTTGGAGGTAGGTGATGGGGATGGGGAACAGCAAGTAAGGACAAGCCTCTGGCATAATGGTCTGTGTACTGTTAAGCAGTCCGTGATCCTAGCATGAAGGGGGAAAATGCAATTAAAGCCAGTGATAACCACTGAGGACCGTTTTAAAACCACTATATATGCTGCTCGAATCGAGTGGGCTGGGGCTGTGAGAGTGTGGGTAGTTTGCAAAAGCATTGGAGATGCAAAGCAGGCGAAACTCCTGCTGCCTTCTCCCTAGGGAAAGCTACCAATAAAAAAGCCTGTGGTATTGGAAAAAGTCTTTTGCTAAACTTGTATTCTAATGATTCCAGCATGGTGACTGACAGCCCTGGGAACAGAGGACAAGCTCGTTGGGTATTTAATTAGTTGTTGGTGAGCAGGTAAAATACTCAAGCTTATTTTAAGTCACAAAACCTTGATAAAGTTCATTCCTGTCTAGTTAAACTGGCAAATATTTGTCTATGCTTGTGAGCTATACTGCTAAAAAAGGATTTGTGTTTCCAATTTTAGTAAGCAAGCCTGTGGCTTTGGGGAGAGGAAAAAAAAAACCAGCATTGTTGTATGAACAGTCTATAAATGGGGGGGGACGGGGACGAACCAAACCCTAGCTTGAGAAAAGCTTGTTGGGAGGTTAGTTTTATGGATCTTGTGAAAGAAATACTAGGGGAGGGACAGCAAAATGGCCACACTTGAAACCTATAAATACTTTCTGGAAAAA